CTGCTATGTGCCAGGTTGGGGTTCGTCTTCTTGCCCTGAAGATTTTGCTCTCTTGCTTTACAGTATGAAAACCCCTGGACCATCCCAAATATCCTGTCCCTGGCAAGAATGGGTCTGGCGCCAGTTCTAGGCTATTTGATTGTTGAAGAAAATTTCAATGTTGCACTAGGTGTCTTTGTTCTGGCTGGTGTAACGGATCTGGTATGTCTGCATAAGTTTGGAAATGCTTTGGGGATAGCAGAGCTTACAGAGATCCCGTTGACATGCATTGAAACTTAGCCTCTAATGTAGAATGGAAATGGATAAAGCAAATTAATTTTTATATTCGCTGCTGCCTAGGAATGCTATACCTATCCTTTGTGACATTGCAAAGGAAACTCTAGGTGCCTGAATGGGACTGAATGCTAGTGGAGCAAAGGGGGATGTCAGGGTTCCCTGACCAGCCCCAGGTGGGCATTGTCCAGTCAGTGCTTATGCATCTGCTGGTCTGTTATTGGGTGCAGATGTACCACAAGAATTGTATGAATTTTAGAACATCAGTTACACTCCCCCCCCCCCTAAAAATTTTTTAATAGTGAGAGGCTTCCAGAATCTGGAATACAATGAGGAAAAAAGCATAATACATGTATCAGCTAGCAGGTATCATGTCATCCTAGTTAAATTATCTGTTTCATATGATGTCATTCACTAAAATCTCTTGTTACAGTAGCATGTGTAGGCTATTTTTGTTCTTAGTTTTCTAACAGAGAGATACTGAATTTTGTTTTTCCTAGTTGGATGGATTTATTGCACGAAACTGGGCTAATCAGAAATCGGCACTGGGAAGTGCTCTTGATCCTCTGGCTGATAAAATTCTCATCAGTGTGCTCTATGTAAGCCTAACCTGTGCAAATCTTATCCCAGGTGAGAAAATGTCAATTGCATGTACTGCATAAGGTAGAGAAGGTAATTTTATGTGTAGTATTATTTCTTGTGTTTCTACAAAGAAAACTGTATCACTTTGAGCTCTCACTTTGTCAGTTGTACTTTGCTATTTGCTCCTGTTAAATACTTCACATCCCCCAAGAGATCCCACGGAAAACATGTGCTGCCACATATAAAACCAGCTAGCATATACTGCCATTTTCAAATACACTTTCTTTAAAGCAATAATAGTTGGTAGCTATTTAAATTTTTTTTCATAGACTGGATTGTTTTAAGACCAGCTTAAACTGCTTAGTGCTCATGTTAAAAATCTTCAGTCATGCATAAACCAGAAGAATTTGGGTGTGGTTATTTTTTTTTTCCTCAGTATTTTATGCTCTTTTGGTTGTGTCTTGCTTTTAATCACGGACATGATTTTTCACTGGATCCTGTTGGCTTGTTTTTTCAGTTTCACTTACTTCCATGATTATTCTGCGGGATGTAGCACTCATTGCTGCTGTTTTTTATGTGCGATACAAAACTCTTTCTCCACCGGTAAGTGTATAGCATTAAACAGAATTGTTTGAACATGTTGCCATAATTAAGAACAAATAAATGAATAATCTTTTAACAAAGTTGTGACCAAGAGATTTTTATCTTGAGGCTTGATGGTTGCTCAAAACTCTGGGTGTATAGCCAAAGATGTAATGCTGTGCTTGTTCTTTTGCCAGATAGATTTCTTAGCAGAGCAGTAGTTCATAAAATGTTTTGTAAAGATGAGTCAGAGCTACTAGTAACTTTTTTTCTGTGTATGTTGTATAAGAAATCATAAAAAAAGAGATAGCAGTGTCATTCTTTAGGGCTACAGTTAGCTTTTCTGTATCACGTGAACAGGTATACCAGATTGATTGTATTATAATTGCATTTTTGTCCTCTTTTCTCCCCCAACAGAGAACCCTCAGTAGGTATTTTAACCCCTGTTATGCTACTGCCCAATTAAAACCAACATTCATTAGCAAGGTAAGGATAATAACTCATTACAAAAGATAACTCCTTAGTAGTTTAGAGAGAGGGAGCTGTTTACTACTACTGCTGAGTACAGTTTCAAAATAGTGCCAACTAATTTGAAGGCAACATAAACTTCTAAGACTTTCAGCTATACTCTGTTAGTACATGCTAATTTTGAGTGTATAAGATGCTTCATTAAAAGGTTTCTAAATAAATTTTCTGTGTGTAGACTAGTAGTTAAAAAGAGTGGTAAAAGTGTATATGGATATTCCTTGCATGGTCCATATCTTCATTTTGGTCATAATTCCTGTTTTGCTTTTTTCAGATGAATACAGCGGTTCAAAAAACAGCTAATGTGCAGCTTCTTTAGCAGCTCCTGTTTTCAATTACGTGGACAGCATATATCTGCAGACATTATGGTAACTTATCTTTTATTTTTTTTTTCAGATAATTTAATGTACTCCTAAAGAAACTGGTAATTGAGATTAATATAGTCACATGGAACAAAAAAAGCTCCTGTGCCTGGCTGAAGTAATAAACCCATAAGTCTGAATTTTTACAGCTTTATTCTTAAATGACACAGGAACTAGATACGTTTTGATACTTAATTTACTATACAAACAAAAAGTAGTCAAACTAGTTAAGATCCAGGAACAATAGCTTAGAAACAGATCTACAGGATAGACATGGTGTACACAGGCCAAACATGAATTCAGAACAATACAAAAGAAAGGAGTGGGAAGAAAGGCTATATGGATTCTTCATGTTTTCATACTGTAAGTGTCCTTGAAAAGGCAGCCTTGATATCAGTAAAAATAGATATGTTTTCTTATTTTTGCTTTATACCATACCTGCTATCTTGAAGTCCCGGTTTGTGAACCCTCTTTGAAAAACGTGAAGAAATGGTAGTTCCTGCTGGACTATAGGAAGGAAGGGGAGAGATGGAATGAAAACAGGCTTACAGGAGCATGTCTCCTTAAATAATGCTGTTCCTTTCACTGCTGCCATTGGAGATCTGAACTGATCTGAGTCAGAACTGTAGCTGGCTGCAGGTGTTACAAGTGCAGTTATTTCTCCTGAGAAGTTAGGTAAGAGTTCAGAACAGAGGCTAAACAGCAGATAGCAGAATTGTTTAGTAACCTTAGTTTAAAGTATAAAAAGTCCAGTGTTACTTGTCTTTTAGGGGGAAAAAGCCAAACCAACCAAAGCAAACCAAAAATGCCTATCCAAAACCAAAAGTGTTTAAGGAACTAGGAACCTTGATCTTAACAGTCAGTGTGGTTTTTCATCCTGTTGGAAAGATAAATCTAGAGTTGCACCTGTGAAAGAGGCTTACCTTGCTGTTTGGGACTCTGAGGGTGTTGCCATGTTGCAAGCAAAAGGGAAATGCTGGGTGTAATTTGTTAGGGTCCTCTGTAAACACTTTCAAAAATGATCTGAGTCTGGCAGTGTGCACAGGGTGGGCAGCAGTGAACAGAGGAGCAGGACTTCAGCAGTGACTCGCACCTCAGTGGGTAGTGTCAGCCTTTTACACAGAGGAGCACTGCTAATTTAGGAATATATATGGTTGTTACCCAGTGTCTGGGAAGGAAACAAAAGAGTCTGAACCAGCAATCTGTGCATTAGGTTTTGGAACTTAGTAAAATGATAAGTTCAAATTTTGTGTAGTTTGAATGCTCCCCTTTCATACTACCAAAGAATAGTTTCTCACATCAGTCAGTTCCCAAGCTGGTAAAAGTTATGTAGGCTGCAAATGCTGAATCTTTTGTCTTCCCTTCTCTAAAACAAATGCTAATACGGTAAAAATTTGGCTTAGTATGCAATTGCACTGAAGCATGCTACTTAGCACCAGGTGGCAAGGTCTGGGTATAATCCTCCCTTTAGCACTGAATTTCAGCATATAAACTGCAAATTACATTTCTGTGTGGCATAGCTCTTGACCGTGTAGAGAAAAACAGGGAAGACACTAAAAAAAGAGCAACACATGCATTTTATATTGTACGTAGACTTACAGGAACTGTTTTCCCCAAAGGTGCATCACAGCTTTCACCACGGTAACATCTGCCTACAGCTATTACCACTATGGCCGAAAAACAGTTCAGGTGATAAATCACAAATGAAGTGTTCCTGGAAGGACAGGGCTTGGCAGCTTGGCATGCTGTACTGCCCAAGACAGTTGTATTGCGGTTTTGGATCAAGAACTCTGTTTTTCTGCTTAAACCATGGCATCACAATGAAGTGAAATTTGAACATGTACTGTGTATATATGTAGAGAGAGAGACTTTTCAATGTATTTTTAATTTCTTTAAAAATGAAGTTGTTTACAAAAACAAATAAAAACATTCTTAAAAACACAGGTTACTTGTTGCTGCCATATGCATTCTGAATAATTTTATACTGTTTTTGAAGTCAAAATACACACACTCTTTGCCAGCTTTTTTGCTGTCTTCATGGAAGGCACTGAGTAAGCTGAGATCCAAGAAGAGAAAGCAATCACAAGAACAAATCTGTCTGTGTACCTCAACCAAAGACAGTAGACCAGCATTGCTCATTAGGAGTTAATAACATACCTCAGCGTGCAGCAGAGTAAAGCCCATCATGGAGGAACAACATTTTCAGAAGTTTAAACCAGAGAGAAATTGTGCTTCATATTCCACGGGGATGTAGATAAGCCACGAAGAGTTCCTGCCCGGCTCCCTTTTCTTTCAAGTATGAGCAATGGTGAACTGGACTCAGAGAAGAGTTTTGAGTATCAAAAGAGCCAGTGGTGCTATGAGGAGTCTGTACTCAAATGGAGTTACATTTCTCATACTGTGTATTCATTTCTAGTGATTGAAAGAAAATCCTGTATCTCCAGATTCTTTAAAGCTTCTAAAGGTGCTGCTTAATGTAAATACCAGTGTGGAAAGGGTAATTGAAATACTGTTCAAATGAATGGAGACAGGGAAGAAACTTTTGGATGCATGTGTTATTAATTCTTCCTGTACCTCTGGCTTCCAGAGGTACACTGTGATCCCCATCAGGCAAGGACAGCTTGCTCTTTGCCTGTTCTCTACTTAGAAAACAATACAGAAGAAAGAACTAGGCAGAACAGATTATTTTGATAGTAAACTCATGTTTTCTAGTTCTGAGCAATGTGATTTTTTTTTTTTTTTTTTTTAATCTCATAAAAAAGAGTGCAGCTATGCAGGACTTAAGTAATTGAAATCAGGAGGTAAATGATACCTCTTGTAACATTAGCAGAAGGAAATTTGCTGTACATGTCTCTTGAGAGCACACAAGCTCTTTTGTGACAGCATATGTTTGTATTTACAAAGCATCTTATTTTTTTATATTTAAACTTGTATAGAAAGGTGCACAAAGAAAACACTTGACTTTTATTAGTACCTTTGTCTTAACTGTCTCCATGTTTTGTGGTCAACCCTGCATCTTACAGCAAAGGGATAGAGGGCAAAGCCTATGGAAATTTCCTTAAAATACAGAAGTATTTAGTAAAATGGAATACTTTTTCTTGATGAAACAGTTCAAAAAACAGAAATTTATTGTACCCAGTCAGATCGTTCTTGTTTGGTTCTGGTTAGTGGAGTTCGGGTTTGGTTGGGGTCTTTTTTCTTTACCTTTTTTAATCGGATCCCTTTTACCTATTGCATGAGCGTGCCAGGGAATGGATTAATACCGGGCAGCGAGGGCTCGGCGCTGTTGTGTGCCATCGCGCTTGTCATCCCCCGTGTGGGTCACGAGCTAAATGTTAGTTAAATGTACCGGGTGATAGGCGCCTAAAATTTGTGTGAAATAAAACTCGTTTGGATGCTAGAGCCGCTGCTTTTCCGGCGGGC